TGGCGGCCGGCGAAGGGGAAGCCCTGCTGCGGGGCGGCGAAGTCCGGGCCGGGCCTGCGCTCCGACGGCGGGCTGAGGCCGAACTGGCCGTGCAGGCCGCCGGGGGAGGGCACGTGTCCTTCGCCCCCCGAGGCCATCCGGAGCGGCGGCTCCTGCAGGCCCGCCATGGCTCCCACCCCCGGCGGCCGGAAGAGGAGATCCCCGGGCCCCGCCGCCGCCGCGGGGTGTGGCGCCGGGAACCAGGGGCCCTCCTGCGCCTCGAAGGCCGCCTCGGCGTGGTGCTGGCCGGGGTGGGGGTGGTGGTGGCCCAGCTGCTGCAGGCTGGGCTGGCGGAGGCGCGGCGGCGGGTTGCGGGAGGCGGCCAGCTGCTTCATCATCAGGGCGGCGTTCTGGCGCTGCTGCTGCTGCTGCAAGGCCGCGTGGTGGTCGGGGCCGGGCGGCGGCTGGAGAGGAGGCCCCTGCGGAGGGAAGCCGTCGGGGCCGGGCGGCGTAAAGTCTCCGGGCAGGCCCGAGTAGGCGGCGGCGGCGGAGGGCGAGAGGTGGCTGTCCAGGGCGGGGCCGTGCAGGGCCCCCGCGCCGCTGCCCCCGCCGCTCCACGAGTCGAAGCGGGGCCTCTTGGCCACGTTCAGGTAGGGCGGCGCGTCGAAGTGCTGCAGCCGCTGGCTGGCCGGAGGGGGCGGCTGGTGGTGCGCGCTGAAGACCGGCTCGCCGGGGCCGCCGCCGTAGGGGGGGTGCGGCTGCTGCAGGCTCCGGTTCTCCAGGCGGTGGATGGGGTACTCGAAGGGGGCGTGTTGCCCCGGCAGGAGGGGGCCGCCGCCGTCTTGCAGGGCCGGGTTGGCGGCGCTGCCCTCGGGGCAAGGCTGCTGCCGGGGCAGGGCGGGCGGGCAGGAGTTCTGTCTGGCCAGGAGGCCCGGCGGCGGCGGCGGCTGGTGCTGCATCAGCGGGTGCCTGGCCTCCAGGCTCGCGGGCATCTTGCGCGCCCCGCCGAACCGCTCGAAGAAGACCCCGTGGGGGGGCGGCTGCTGCTGCGGATGCGCCTTGGCCAGGCTGCCCATCCCTGCCGGCGCTCCTCGAGGCAAGGCCGAGGGGCCCCCGGAGAAGCCGCCGCCGCCGCCGTTGGGCACCTGCTGCCTGCCGGCTCCGTAGTGGGGCAGCTGCCCGTCGGCCTCGGAGGGCGAGAAGACGGGCAAATCGAAGTGGCCCTCCCCGCTGGGGAAAGTGTACTCCAGGGACTCCACGGCGGCGGCCCCCTGGCTGGGCAGGCGCCTCTGCGCGTCCAGGCCGAGCGGCTCCGAGTTGGCGGCGGCCCCGGCCAGGCCGTGGAAGGAGGCGGCGCGGTTGGGCGACTGGTCGAGGGGGAGGCAGGGGGCCGGCACGCCGGGGTTGTGGTGCGGCGGGGGCGGCTGGAAGTCCTGCAGG